GTTGCATGGAGTTGTATAAAATTCCATACTGAGCACTGGTTTTTATGGAAAGTTTATAATATCATTAGATCATTCTCTTACCTATAGTTCTGGGATGTGTTTGAGGAAGTGCCTGCGGCCCTGAATTTGTGGATGGACCCATAAAAATTGCATGTGGAGTTCTGAGTGTATGCATGTGCATATTTCTGGGTTGAGGACCCAAAACTGTCACTGAGTTAGCAAAATGTATTTTTATACATATTTAGTAGTAAGGCACTCTGAGGTATTATTTGTTTTGTGATGAAAACAAACAGAAAGGAAATAAGTTTTTTAGCATTTCATTTCAGGATAATTTTGTGCTGTTGCCTCTGTCTTGTCCCCATGTAACATATACTTATTTAGCATTTATTATGTTTCAGGTACTGTTACACGTGCTTTACATATGCTAACTGATTTACTCACACAGCAACTCTGTGCCATATGTGGTATGATTATCTCCATTCTGTACATGAATCTGATGCATAGAGACGTTCAGTAACTGAATTAAGGTCACGCAGCTAATAAGTCATAGACTGAGATTCATACTCAGGCGGTCTGGCTTCGGAGTTCATGCTCTTAACCATTTATAATCTGTCACCCTTCGTCTCTCAGGATCCTGTGTATTTCTCAAGGCCCAGTTCAATGATTGCCTCTTCAAGGAATTCTTCCTTGTTTCTCGCTGTCAGAATTAATTACACCCTCACTGAAGTTTGCTACTGATGTGTCTATTGTAGTGCTTAAGGTTTAACTGGTATTAATTATATTAACTCTTTATCAGTGTCTATTCTACACTAGACTTAGGTTATTTGAGATCATTGGCAGTATCTTATTATGAGACTTTGTGTTCTCAGCCCTGTTCACAGATCTTAACCCAAAGTGTTCTGAAACCAAATAATGGTTGGTTCATGGAATGAATGAATAAAAGAATAAAAGAATACATGTCTAAATAGAACTGTACAATTTCTAATATCTAGTGATATGAAAAAGTAATTCCTAAAGTTTAGCTATACAATCTACTTCCAGCCCTAGTCTTTATTATTCATTTATTAAAAATATATATTTATTCAACAATGTTTATTTTGCACTTGCTCTGTGTCAGACACTTTTATGCTGCATATCTTGTGGTGAGCACAATACAGCACTATCTTTGTGGAGCTTCAGATCGAGTGGTCAAAGAACCAACTAGAAAATGACATTTAATTTCCAATTTGGAGGTAATTGCTAGGGTAAATTCTACATTCTGTACAGGCCAATAAATTTGAGTACCAGGAATACCTCTCAGTGGTCATTATTTTCAGTGTTCTGTACATAAAGGGTAAACAATTGAGAGTATTATCAGTAGACATGTGTGTGATAGTCTCATATTTCTATCACTAGTTAAGTTTTGGCTGTATTTATGTTTTAGTCATGTATCTTAAATGGGGCTGTTTATTTCTTATTCTATAGTGTGTGTGCTGTAGTAAGGTAAATGGTCTTGTTTCCATAGCGTGTAACAGGCATTCAGTTGTGGCTACTTTAAAAGTTGAATATTAACCTGAAAATACTTTATATCTATATATGATATATGTGGGTACGTCAAAAAATTTATGGAAAAGTAAAATTGAAAGATAAAACAAGTATTTCCATGAAGTTTTTGAAATACCCGCATATATTAAATATTGTTGATTTTATGCCTGTATATAACTAATAGAACATTTATGTAATAAGAATTTATTAAATCAGTTTATTACTTTAAAAATCAGGTAACAAAGCCCTATCAAATAGAGCAATGCACGTGGAGAAAAGTTCAAGCATCACAATGGATGTGTGTCTTTTTATGTGATGGCGGTGATAACTTAGCTTTGATCCACTCTCACATTGCAGTTTTGCTATTTCCTACAGTGTTTAAAAGGTATGTTAATACTGTTTTGCTCCTCATGAAAGCCAGGAGTCCCAGTATCCTGAACTGAAATTGTCTGGTTTTGTTTTGGCTCTCAAATCGCCATTCTGTGTTTGAAACAACTCTTTTTTTTTTTTTTTTTTTTTTTTAAAATTTTTTTTTTTTTTCAAAAAAAAAAGCTTAACCCAGGGAAACCCCCCAAAAAAAAAAAAAA